CTCTAGTTGCGATTGAGACGAGGTCCCATTTGTTGCCCTGCAAAAGAGACTGGGGGATCAAAATTAGGGTCCCTCCCTCTTTTGGTAGCCCCTTCAAAAGGCGCCACCTTTTTCCTTGGCGAGTCCACAAAGGAGCCGGCCACATTTGTGACAAGCCTCTTTGGGGAGGGGGGGGGGGGAATGAAACTCTTCAAAAGTGAAAGAGTCCTTCTAACATGGGAGAAATTATGTGTTGCATAACAAAGAAGAATCAGCTAATATGACACACAAACAGACACACACACACACACACACGCAAACAAACAAAACACAATGGTTTCACTCAGTTGCCCAAAGGACCTGGAAGATAAGAGGTTAACCTTTCGGGGCCATGACTAGAAATGGACCAACAAAGGTTGACGGGTCCCCAAAGGCTAAGCAAAGCTTGCAAATCAGGGCACACAGCACGGCCAGCAAAACGTGGCCCCCTTACAATAATGTTACACCTCCTTTATTAGTAGCATGATAGCAAATTGTGTTCGCAATTCAGGATGTTGTGACTGCTTTGGGGTCCTCAATTGCAGCATGTGTTTCTGGAAAACAATGCCGGGAACAAATCCGGGGAAAAACGACTGGCCAAAAAAAGTCGGACAAAAAACGGGCAAACAAATCCGGGCAAACATTAGGAATTCCGTTTTTGAAGTGGTCCCCAAACCTTCAAATTTAAGATAACTTCTTTACACAAAAGTAAGGGCAAACATTCACACAAAGGGTCTCTTTATTGGGGCTTGCTGAAAAATTAGGGCCTTGGCAATACTATAGAATTGGCAATACTAAAGTCAGTAAATACTGGGAACTTGAGAGTCGGCCTTGGCAATACTAAAGTAGAAGTAGCAATACTAAGGTCAGTACTGGAAATCTGAGAGTCAGCCTTGGCAATACTACAGTAGAAGTGGCAATACTAAAGTCAGTACTGGGAATCTGAGAGTCAGCCTTGGCCAGACTAAAGTCGAAAAGTAAGAACTGAAAACTGAGCGGGGGCGTTGGCAATACTAAAGTAGAATTGGCAACAAATTGCCTAAAGAGGGTCCAGCTGACTGGTTCCTAGCGATAGTGGGGGGGGGTGGTGTCAAGAGGGTCCAACATGAATGATTTCCACCCCCCACATTAAACCCACACAAAATGTATGGGCCATGACCCCTGCCCTATTTACACAGAAAAGGACCCATCCCGAACAAAAAGATGTGCGCTTCTTGAACTCCGCTTCTTGCGCTCCTTCCCACCATGATCATGCCCTTCTGCAGCCACTTCAACCGCTTGTCCGGCCGCTTCTGGATGAGGTTCTCGATCTTCCTCAGCTGATTCTTGCAGCTCGGAGAGAGATCTTGGCTGGCGCTGTCCTTACTTGGATCTTACTTAGAGCACCTGGGCTGTCAGACAGGTCAGCCTTTTGCAAGCTAAGTCAAACAACAAAAGCAACCTGTAACCACAAAACTTGCTGGAGATCAATAGGGAATCAGGGAATAACCCCTGTAAATCATCCAACCTATGCTTTGCTTTCTTCAGGAATCCCTCAAAACCGATTCATTCCCACCGGACTCGTTGTCATTCCCTACCGAGATCGAGCACCAGTCGGTGGATTCAGTGGATTCGGATCTGAGGCACATTTCAAATTCCATGGCTTCCTCCTTCTCTCGCTCCTCACGCTCATCCTTTCGTTTCCTGCGAGCGGAAAGGCGCTTGGGCGAGCTGAGTTGCTGGCGCCGGACCCCACGGATGCAAAACATGGGGATGGCGCGTGTCTTGTGGGGGTTGGTATTCTCGTTGGGTGGGTTTTGAAGGGGAAACCAAAAGGAACACCACCATGTTGGTCGGTACCCTAATTAAAAAAGACAGACCAACAATTCGGTTGGGTGGTCTATCAACCAGGGCTCTGTCCATCACTGCGGAATGGAGTTTGTCCAGAGTGTCTTCTCAAGCACTCCAGGAAAAAAAACAGACGGAAACTCTCACGAGGCGATGATTCCAAGCAGAGAAAGATTGGGAACCCTGTACCTGTATTATTATGGCTCCAAGCGCTCCACCCGCCGGTGTGTGTGTGTGTGTGCGTATCTATTGCTTGCCGTGCGTAAAACGTGGCAGCTCGGTATCGAGGCAGACAAAGCAACATGTCTTGTTTGCAAACTAAGCGCAGATTGGGTGTATGTTTTTTTCACGGATTGGACCCGGTGGATCATAATAAACATCGGCCCTAAGTTGAGTACACAGCTTGCTAGTTAGCATGTATGTCCACCAACCATTTTGGAGTGGCGTCCCAACTCTAAACAAATCATAGCCACCTGTGATGACTTGATATCGTGGTCTTTCAGGACTGCGATGATTTGTGCTGCAGCCAGGGCAACTTGCAATTCACACATTGCAAATCTGGGGGTTGATCAGACGGTTATGGCGGGCGGCCGAACGGAATATTGATCAACCCCTCATATGGAATCCCCGTTAAGGACCTTCATCATAACGCGCGTTGTACCTGGCTACAAAACACATGTGAGCCATGGTCAAAATTTGTGTGCGGCCTATGGTCATTGCTCCCTTAGGAGCCATCATAACGGTTCAGGCTCCTTATTAATTACCAGATGGATGATCATCCCTTTGAACCCCAATTAAAGGGGTCTTTTGGCACATGTGCAGCAGTGAACCCACCGCAAGGTCGCTTCTTCACTCGGGTCGATCTGTCTCCCTAATCAGTCCTTGGAGGGCTGTTGCGTTTGCTGAAGACCATCATCCGGGATCTCTCTCCATCCTGGAAAGGCAGAGACTGAAAATCCATTTTGGGTTGGTCCATTCCTTCCCCCGAAACCTCCCCCCCGCCCACCCCAAAACGAACACCCCGAAACCCCCAGACCCCCCATAGGAAATGAATTTGAGTCAGCTCGCGAAACCAGCTGTTTTTTGGCTTTGAAGGGAAGCCAAAGGGAAATCATTGATTTGCCACCCCCATTTTGAGTGGTCCCCAATTTTCGAGCCAGGGCTCCCCATGTTTCCCCCTTCGATCATCACCTCAAATAGCCCCCTCCCCCAAGGACATGTGCCCCACAGGCAAGCCACTTGTTAGCAGATCCCCTTTTTAGCTCACTTCTCACTTTTTGGGTGGACTGGCCAAAACAAAGTCCGAACATTCCCCCATCACTAAACTCGTCTCTCTAACCCCCCGAAAAGGTGCTACTCAAACCTCTTCAAAAAACCTCGAGGTGTGAGGATTGCGGGGGCTTCCTTTCGACTCGGACCTCACTCCGCAGATTTTGGATCCCTCGGATCCCTCGGATCCCTCGGATCCCTCGGCTCCACGGAACTCGGCTCCGGCCTTCTCGTGGGCCTGGCGCAGGGCCTCGGCCTTGCTGAGCACCACGGACCCCGAGTCCCGGTACCCCAGCGTCGACATGGCCTGCGGGTGGTTGGTGGCACCGGACGGAACGGACCGGCCCCCCCAGACCCGGTCGAAGGGGTGGTTTTGTGGTTTTTGCTTTTTGCCACCGGAGTGGTCAAATATCAAGAGAAAGTGTGTGGGAGTGTGTGGGGTTTGAGATAAGTGTTGATATACTAGTAAAGCTTGAAAGCTGTTGAAGAAAACGAACTTGCATTTCAACTGAAATGACTCAAGCTTGACCAGGAAGAATGGAAAAAGCTCGCAGTTCAGGTACCATCTGGGGTACACAGAAATTTGTTCAGGTTCTTTTGGGATTTCTAGTCAGCCCTAAAATGTGCTGTATGTTCCGCGGAGACCGCTGAGAAAGCTTGGGCTGTTGATTTAAACCTAAACACAACTTGCTCTTCAATTGCAATGACTCAAGCCGCAGCGTTATGCAAAAGCCTTGTGCACTTAGCAGGAGAAGTACAAAAGATACCTCCCACAATGATCCGCATTCGATGCCATCCGCGTCCAACCGCTTTGACGCAACCGCCTCTCTCTTTTTTTGCCCGGCCTGGCTCGCGTTGCCGAGGACCAGTCACAGCGCGGGTGCTTTCGCTTCGGTCCCCGGGTCACGGGAAGTTCGAAAGTTCGGTGCAGCTGTCAAATCAGTGGAAATGGACCCAAAGGGTGTCTCACCTACTTCCCCGGAAAAACCATCTGATGGTTTCCCAGGCTCCAACTTTTTGCTGTCCTTGAAACCTTCTTGAGCCTCTCAGGCCGGTGGCCGGCGTGCGGGAACTTGGGACAGCAGACACGAGCAGGGCCTGCTGGCTACAGTCCAAGAGTGTGTATATATATATATATTAATTGTATTTATTATATAAATGTGTGTATATATACATATATACATATATATATATATATTCCTGTGTGTGCTATAGCTCTATCAATTGTTTTCAAACACCTTCACCTTGCCAGCCACAAGAGCAGTGCTTTGAAAGTGGGTGCCTTCGGTGCTGCATGAGATACGCGCGAGATACGAGCTCCTCATGACCAGCACATCACCAGAATCCGCGAAGGAGTCCAGTGTCAACTCTTCTCTTCCTACGCTCGTCCGTGCCCATCCCCTCATATGCAAAGAAACCAACCTCAAATGAACCTCTAGTCAATATGTGAAAGGCTGATTCATGAAATCTGCACCCAACCAAACCAAACTGAAACTGACAAAAGGTTTCCAGCTCCGAGTGGGCCCTGCCTCTGAACAAGCAACCCAAGAAAAGCAAATCGTGTCGTAGGTGCAATTCGGATCCAGCAAAGCTGCCATGAGCAATCACAGGCTGGAATGCCCACACCCTCAAAAATGGTGTGACACAAATCCAAACGTTTGCACGCCTGCGGATTTAAATGGACCCCCCCCCCCAACAACAAAAAACCAAAAAAAACGTTTTTTGGGATGGAGCCTCCTCTTGGGGGAACTCTTTTTGGCTTCATATTCATTTGCAGGAGAGTACACAATACCGGCATGGCAACTGGTTTTTCGGGGTCGTAAGTTGACTGGTCGCTCCCAGCCCGCCCTCAGCTTGCGGCTCGGCTGCGAACTGGGCCTCCGAGCACACTGGGCCCGGCCCAGTCCCAGCGGCATGCGCTCAGGTTCCGCCTCGGAGGCCAACGGCAAACTCCCGCGGACTGTTCGGAGGTTTGGTCGGCTCAGCGGATTCTTCTTGTTTTTTGGCAGCTTTGGGCGACCGAGGTCGCCAAAAACATAAAATACGGAAGAGTTCGCAAAGGAGTCCCAGTAACCCATAAGGGATCCCAGTGTGGATTCCAACATGTTCTTTTATTAGCAGACAAAGAATCTTTGGCTGCACAGACCTTGAAAGAGGTTGCAAGAGAAAAGATAGGGGAACCGATGCTGAAGTCAAAGACTCATCACACCTAAGAAACCCTTGGCAGGCAATGCACTCAGCTCCTAAGTGACTCTCGATCAAAAGAGATTGGCCGTGGTGTCTATGTCCGCCAGCAAGTTTCATCCGACTTGGCCGCCTGGATCTTCATGTTTCTATCCAGGCCCCTGGATGTTGCTGGCAGTTCATTGGGATAGTCGACTATCCCCGGGCAAAAAAAAAGAGGAATCCATTTGCAAAACGGGCCACAGCACAATTACTCCATCAGTCTTCCCAAGAGAAGGGTGGCAAATCTGATCAATTCATTGTGCCAAGCTAACTTAAGAACATCAAATCCAGAGAAGCTGGCGCCACAGAGGAACTCCAGCCGGCCACTCCCCTTCTCCCAACTCTGCCTCTTCGGAAACATGTGGGAACCTGTTAGTGCTCGGATGTGCTCGGATGACCAAACTCCATTCTCTGGATCCTTCGCCTGCTTTTTTTTCTCCCCCACATGGATGGCTTCTTGTTGTTCCCTATCTTTTGTTTACTCTTTTGGGCTGCAACTGGGACACCAGAAACTCAATGCTGGGCCGACTCCCTTCTTTTCATTTTCCAACACCCTTTCATTACCCTCCTTCTTTTCATTTCGTCAACTGAAAGGGGTTGCTTGTTTCAACAGATTCGGGTGTATCTTTTTAGAGATCCCCAACATGAGCTGGTTTCGTATCCGTTGCTTTTCCAACGTAACACCTACCAAACACGGGGCAGACCCAGCCTCCGAAAAAGTCGAGCCGCCCATTCCGACGCAGTGGGCGCCAGCGCCAAGACCTGCGCCGCGGCGTCCGCGCGCAGCTTTCGGTGCACCTGCGGGGAGGTCGACGTGGCTTTCCAGTTCGAGGCTCGGTCGCGATGCGATGCTTGGTGACTTTGGGGGAGACCAAAAGGAAACGGTTCGAAGCCATTTGGGGGCCTCCTTTTGAGGCTATGTTGTCACTTTAAAAGAACCGGCGCCATCTTTGAGGGATCCCCTAAAATAAAGACATATGCAAAATATGTCTGAATCACGACGGGATCCCTCAACCCACCATCCCAAGACCATTTCTATCCACCCAATGTCAGACTGCTTTTTTTGCAGACCTATTCGTGGTTTGGATTGGTAAGGAGTTGAACCAAACCACCAATTGGAGGGAAGCTGGTCATTCCAGTGGATGTGTGTGAGGCCCGGTACCCTTTTCACCCTGGTCGAAGCTAAAAGGCGCTTAGGATGGTTGGGGTGGCATTCAGGTTGGGTCCAAAAAACAAAACAACAAACAGCAAACTAGAAAACACCAAGCTCAAACTGAGAGAAGGAAGCAAACCCCGGACGTGGCAATTGGGTGATGAATTGGCTCTGCGGCCGACCATTTCAGTCAGATCCACAAGCTGCAAGCTGCGGCTCCGGATGGATCAAACGCGCCCCAATCCCTGCGAATGGAGCTCAATCACTAGGACGAGTGCGTGAAGGGAAAGCTCATTGGGCTTGGGGAGAGGGGGAGGGAGCCCAAATTCGCCAACTTAAGCCCCTACAAAAAGCCTAATTTGGGGCTTATTTGGGCTCCCTCCTTTTTCCCCTCTCTTCCCTCCCATGAAAGGGTCTCTATCCCTACGCATGGGCCCCATGTTTTTGTCCGGCCTCCATCATGTCGGTCTCATTCTCGACCGGATGGGCAACCATGACACCTTGGCGGACAAATCACACCGCTCGGCGAGCAAACAGCTCGGGGAAAGAGTTCCGCTGGTCATTGATAAAATGAGACAAACCAATGGACCAAGTTAACTCCAGACACTTCCGCAGAGATTTAGCATCATGTACATGTTAGTCGTCGAACAGACTCCAGTTTATCCATTTTGTCAGGCATTGAACATGGTCCGCTTAAGTACGCCTGGGCTAGCTCGTCATCCCTGCCAAGGCAAGGCTGGTGAACCAGCAACTGCCAAATACTTCTCGATTGGTAGCTTTTGGTATTTGCCTTGAGCCTTTACACCGAAACCGCTCGGTTCCACTGAACCGGTAAACGCAAGGGTGAAATATAAGCTTCATTCATGATTAATGGGGTGCCAAATCCTGGTTGCAAACCGCACAACTGAACCCTAAGCGGGATGCAACGAACGCTGGTGGCGCCAGAAATGTCGCCTGGCGCAAAAGTGAGCGCCTTCATTTGTTCAGAATTATCATGTTTTCGGATTCTCTCCCTTCTTTAAAGGGCGCTTCTGAAACGGGGCGCCTTTTCCATCGCTGACCTTCGACACGCGCAACTGGATATCTGAAAACCCCAGCTGGGCTTCGCGGCACGCGTGCAGAGGGGGCGGCTGCGCGTCCCAGTGCAGCCAGCGCTGCAGCGGCGCCTTCGGCCGCCGGTCCTCGGGTCGCCCGTGGCCGGCAGGGCACGAAACGGGGCGTCCGGGGATGACTTGGAACCGAGAAAATGCGTGGGAAGGTCATATAAAGGATACCCCCTGGCATCATGGACGTTTCAACCCCTGGTTGAAACACGTTTACTCCCATATTGTTGAGACAGCCTCCTTTTGCTTTCCCTACTGCGACCAGGGGCTGGTGGCTCAAACAGCATTTGCCTGGCTTGGCACCTGTTTGTTGGCTGTTTGATGAGCAAACACTCGTACGGCTTCCACAGCGCTCGCACAGCAGGGCAGTGCGGAACGCTGGTTCGTGTCCGCTACCGAAGTGGGACCGCAAGGTCCGAGGAACGTCTCACGGCTCTGGTGGCCGTGAAAGCTCTAATCCGCCTTTCGGCGGATTGAAGGGTAGCCTGAGTGACATGTAAAGACAGCCCGTGTTGAGGCGGGGCAATGCCCAAAGGAGCCAGATTAAGGCATCTCAGCTTTGGGATGTTCAACCCAAACTGGGAGGCGAGGGCTCCAAAAAAAGCACGAACAAGCCGAATGTCAGCAGCCAAGGTTGGTTGACCTCCGCTGCCTGTGCATTCGGAACGGTGGCACCAAATCACACCGTTCCTCGCTGTCCTAATGACAGGAAACTCAGCTCGAAAAACAAGGCTCAAATCCTTTGGCGTGAAGGACTGAATGCCAGGTTTCAAGACGGTAGAGAATCTGTGTCTCTGACTGGCCGTCTGCTCGAACATTGTGTAGAAGACTCTGGGGTCTTCTAAGTTGTTTGTACCAGCGTAGAACAGCCCGGTTGACCAAGTCAGAGGCAAGGCATTCTTCACCTTCGCGGCTGGGACGTGCTGTGGGTGGAGCTCGTTGTTGGAGGACTGGAGCAAGTTGTTGCCCTCGGCCTCGGCAACCTGTCGGAAGGCTGCGGCCTTGTGCTTGGAGATGTTGGTGAATGGAGTCTTCATATGCCTTGCCAAGTTGTGCGCATTTGGCAGTGGAAGAAAGGTGAGGCATGTCCGTGATGTGGATGTAGTCATTGGCCCATTGCTGATGATCAATGAGGTTCCAGGGAATTTCCGCTGGAAGCGGCCAGCGTTGGATACGTTGTGGTTTCGATGGAAGATCGAAGGAGGCCCAGAGAGCCCCATGATCGGCAAAGGCCTGCGAGAAGTGAGTGGATTGGTAGAATTGCGCAAGCTCAGGTGAGATGTATATGCGATCGGGGGTTGAAGTACCCCGGTAGGTCTGAAGAGGCGGGGTACCGGTGCGGATTTGGTGAAGGGTTTGAACTTCAATCCAACCGGCTGCAAGCCAAGTACGAATGGAAGGAAGGTGGGATTCCGAGTGGTTGAAATCTCCAGCCACGAATCGCAGGCCTGAATGGCCCAGTATGAGCTCCGAGGTGATATGTTGCAAAAGGAGCTCCGTATCTTGTCGTGCTTGCGGCCACGTGGGAGCCGTGGGCCACCCATAGACGGTGCAGCCCGTGATTGCATGATGGTCGTGCCAGCTCCTAGTGAGTAGGGTTCTGCCGGCTGTGTATTCGGCGTTGGGCCATGGGATGTGGAGTTGCTTGGTGCTGATGTCAGACAACTGCATGACACCAGCCCATGTCCCAGCCGAGAGGGATCGATTCCTGAGGGGGACCGGGGCACCAAATGTGGTGCTGGTCTTGCGTTGTTGCCGGTGCGCGGTGCTATGAATTTGCTTGCGGAGTGTGTGCATTGATGGGAGTGCAAGGTGAGTCTCCGCAATGTTCCAGATACCTCCAGAAGGCAGGTCCAGGATGATGTCAGCTTTGCCAATGGCACCACTGGGGTTGGTGGTCCCCAGTATGAATCGCGGGCCCGGGTGACTGGCCTCGCCGAAACGGAGTGTTGGCTGATGGTGAGCCGATTGTGACAAAATGTCAACCAAGGTTCCAGGCAGATCCAACCCAAGTTCGCGGTGATCCGCGCTGTGCATGGAGAACTGGGTGAGATCTGCAACTGGATTGGGGCCAAAAAACGGAAGCCGAACTGACTTCAAAACCACATGAGGTGAGTTCGACATAGTCTGGCTGGATTGATCCAACATGGGGTTGGACAAAGGTGGAGTGTTCATCGGCTCGCGAACCAGAAGCGAAACCGAAATGGAGCTGAGTCCAAAGGACAAGCCAAAGAAGGGTATGTCCAAATCCCCAAGAGAGCAGGCGATGCGGTGATCGAAATCGAGGCGCCTGGCGTGCATCAGCGCCAGGCCCGGAGTGCCTTAGTCAGTTGGTGCGGAGCCTCTTGTTGAGGAGTCCTTCTATGGCTTTGAAGCCATCTGCCATCTCCGCATGGATGCTGGTGTTGAGTTGCTCGATTTGGCTTTGCATTTGGATGATGGTGGTTTGTTGCTGGCCGACTGTGGCGTGAACGGCTTCGAGCTGCTGCTGCGTGGAGCTTTGGGCGGCTGCTGCATCATTGAACCAGCTTTCGAAGCGTACGGAGTGCTGTCGCAACTCCTGTATGTCTGCTTCTAATCTGTTGATGCGTGGGTCGTGTTGATCCGACCCGGTGCCCATGTCGGTGTCCGAGGGGCCAAGAGCCGAGTGGTCATCCAGCTCTTTGCGGATGGTGGCTGTGAGGTCGCTTTTGAGTCTCTGCTCAACTTGTTGCAGTCGATCTGCTGTGCAGTGTGTCACACTGGATCCTGGTTGCTGGTGACCAATTTTGGACCAGGGATCTGGTCCAGTGACCCACGGGTCTTGGGAGGCCGCGGGTTTGTTGCTGTTGTTGATGTAGGATCGCGTCTTGCGTGACACCACGATAGGATCAACGGCGTCATCCTTGTTGATGGTGCGAACTTTGGTGACGATCACATCACCATGAGCTCCAGGCAGTATGGGGGAAGGTGGAGGTTGGTCCGATCCGACTTCCCATGTGACGCCAGTGCCATCTCGTCGGATTGGTTGAAGCGGCTTGGCTTTCCATCCCCAGGACTGGAGGGATTTGATGAGCCCTTGGCGTTGTGTTCCATGGGGCAGTGGAAAGAGCTGGTAGATGTCAACAACCTTGATGGGGAGGAAGTCTTCCAAGGGCTTCAGCTTCTTGTGGCCGGCTTCAAGAGCTGCTTGCTCGAAACGAAGTCCATACTTGTTGCGAAAGCGAGCGACAGAGAGCGCTTTGTCAGTAGTTTTGAGCCGGTGCAGAGCGTCTTGGAGTGTGATGGGTCCCAGCCACACAATGCCGAATCGCTCATCTGGTTGTTTGCCGGATGAGTCCCGTGGGTCGATGTAGATCCCGTGCGTGGCAGAGCCCCGGATGACAGCCTCGGCTGCTGCACTAGTGATTCGAAGGAGCACGCTCCATCCAATTGCGGTTTGTGGTGTGGCACTTTTGCCGGTGGTAGCAAACCAGGAACGGTTCCATATATCATGGATGACCGAGTCGATGTCGTCGTCATCGACTGGAGGATGGAAGTTAGGGCAGCTATTGCCACAGCCGTCCCGTCGGCAGAGCATCAGGATGGGGAACTGCTGAATGACCGCTTTCATGGGTCCGTCTTGGAAGGTGGTCCAGTCGTTGGGCCATTGATCCTGATAGACACAGAGCTTGAGTGTCGTGGTTGGAGTTGGCGCAATGCTTGGCCTGTTGGGATGGCGTTCTCGCATGACCTGAACTTGTCCCAATTGTGCAAGTGTGCCGCGGATGAGAACCGGGTCCTGCGTTCCCTTGTGGATTGCGGGGAAAACGAGGTCCTGGAGAGTGAGCATGCCTCTCATTTCCGAAGGAATTGCTGCCGTGGTGAGAACAGCGAGAGGTCCGTCCGAGATGGGTTGTCCTTCCCGGAGGAATGGTGCAAGATCAGCGGGAGTGGCAAAGGCAATGCCTACTTGGTGTTGGCTGAGGGTGTTGAAGGGGATGTGGTGTAGAGCGGCTCCATCCTCGGCGATGAATGAGTTGGGGATCAGTTCAAGGTCAAGTGGCGTGACCTGGAGCTCTGGTTGAATTGGGCGTGTTTTGGGCTTGTTGGTGCGTCTCTGGATGGCTCCAAAGTGGTGAGCCGCTTTTTCACGAATTCTCTCTTGTAGTTCGTCGCTCTGAACGAACAAGAAATGGATGTCAGGTCGTGAAGCAATTGCTTTTAGCTTCTGCCAAGGTGCCTGGCTGGCCAATGCTTGCGAAACTTCATGGTGCGGAAGTTTTTTCAGCGCTTGTTGCGCGCGTTCGAGTGTGCGCTCCGGAGGGACTCCTTTTGTGGCCAGGAGTTCACTGAGCTTCGTAGCGAGCTGTTGTGTGTCGGCGGGTCCAGTGCCGAAGATCCCATCCGTATGTGGGTGCTGTTGTCGGATGTGGTGGTGCCAGTGTTGAATGCTGCTTGGTGTGGCAAAACCAATGCTAAACACAAGGTGTGCTAACGCGCAGGTTCCGCAGGTGTGTGGATCTGGTTGCTGGTAGTGCGTGCGAGAGACGAGATGTAGCCGGTCGTGCTCATCAGCTGTGGCAAGCTGGTGAATGAGTGCTGTGAAAGGAGCTGGGATGCTGGTGTTTGGTGTGGTGGTAGAGTGCAAGCTGTTCCAGTGTGTGAAAGCTTGCTGGGAGCCTCGGCCCCTCGTGAGGAGGGTCCAGTGTTGGTTGTGTAGACAGATCGCAAAGAAGGCGATTGGCAGTGTGGAGGTTGGGTGTTCCGGGATGTGGCCGCCGATGCACGCATCGATCCCGGGGGTGTGGTGGGGTAAGTCGTCACTGGGAAGCCCCAGAGTGGCAAGCACGTCTTTGATGTGTCTGTCGCTGAGTCCTGCCTGGCGTTCCTGGATTGGTTCCCGGCAGCGGAGTTCGTAGGGTCCCAGGAACCCAATGTCTTGCAGGACGGCATGCTTGGGGAGTTGATGTGGTCCATCCCAAAGGCTGGGTGTGGTGGAGTGGTCGAGTTGTTGTTCTGCTCGAAGAAGATGATCAACTTCTAAGAAACCGTCCCGAATGATTGGCAGCCATCCATGTCCGTCGTGAATGAGGAGATGCCGTGTGGCATGTGATTGATCTGTCTGCCAGTGGTGGTGTCGTTGGAAGAGAAGCTGCTGCTTGTGTGCCTCCAGAAGCTGTAGCGGTTCGGCAAGTGGTGTTCGGCTGAAAAATTTCTGAACAGCTCGAAGAAGGTGGCTGGTGATCCAAAGCGCCTGCAAAGGGGCCGCAATCTGTCCCAGCAGACACAATCCATCCCTGGCTGATCCCACAAAGTGGTAATCAGCTGGAGCTCTTGAACGTGCAGAAACCTCGGCTTGTTGGTAACTTGTGAGATGATGTAGAAGCCCCTGAGACCTCCTGTGATGAGGCGGTTGGGACTGAGTGCCTGTTTGCGGCAGCCGCATGGACAGGCCGTCAGTGCGGATCCATAGCTGTGAAGGACGGTGGGGCATACGCTGGTGAGTTCCAGGCGCCGGTGCTGTGTGCCGTGTGCTGGGTTGCTGTATGCATCCATCTCATCATCATCAAGACCAAGGGCGAGTTCTTCGTCACGGGACCACAAGGGCCATGCCGGAATGATGTGCCCCACAGTGGGCATGCGCATGTCCATTGGCCATGGATTTAGCTCTGAGGCATCCATGGCAGCTGGGAGCAAAAGCGCCCACCATCTGTTCCGGCGAACTGGCCATTGGTGCTGCAGCTCGAGAAGGAGAAACTTCGCCTGAAATCCCATGTGTCCGGCGAAAAGCTGCAAGCTTTCCTGAACGAAGGGGAAATTCTGGACATTGGCCACGCATTCTAACAGAACTGCCGACGATTGGTGTAGCCATGCTGTACGAAGAGTGCCCCAAAACGCGGAAGCCCTGGAGTCCTGAGATCCTCGGCCGTCTCCTTGCCGGCTGAAGGGCTGGCAAGGAAAGCCTGCTCCCAGGATTGTAGGCTCAGCCGTGTTGGCGAGGTGCAACTTCAGGATGTCTGTGTCGCTGCAAACGCTGCCCTGAATCACATTCAAGGCCTGGTTGGCTCTAAGCGTGCTGCATGCCAAGGAGTTGGTGTCCATGTGGGCCACTGTTCTGACCCCAGCGCTGGCCGCTCCGAGGGCGATGCCGCCCATGCCAGCGCACACTTCCTTCATAGTCTTGTAGGCAAGCAGCCCGCGTGGTTGGTGTGGGATCACGGTGGAGATGTTGCTCGGGAAGAGCAGCCATTGTCCATTATCTTGGTGCACCTCGAAGTGGTAGACCGTGACCAACGAGGCCTCGAGAAAAACCTCAGCAGGCACCAGCGCGAGGAGGTCAGTCCCCTTCAGAGAGGAGGCCGCGAGCGTGAGATCCGGCAAATCGCGGTCGGCCAAGACGAGCACCCCGGTGAAGGGTAGCCCCAGCTGCGGTAGTTGTATCCATTTCATGGGTCGATCGAGCGTTCGGCTGACACCAGTCCACCACTGGTAGGCACTCGAGCCAGACTTTTTGATGAGCAAACAAAGGAGGACTAAAGACAACAACAACTCGGGTAGCCCCACCTCCGATTTTGAGGTATTGTGAGACACGCCCATTTCGTGTGAGATCAAAGTACCTTGGAAACAAAGTTAACGTGGAAGGATCTCAAATACAAATCAATCCAATGAATGCTAATATTCAGACGGTCGGCATTGAAGTACCTGATGTGATATATTGGAGATAGACTTCCAACTTGCTTCGATCTGATCCAACTTGCTCGCGAATGGAGGAACCAGAATAGTCACCCAATGCAAAGGACCTGACCCTGGATTCATAAACCGGGTGTCCCTTTGGGGATTTGAGTCACTTTTAAAAAGGAAGGTGTTCCCGTATCAATTCGCAGTTCAGTGATCCGGGGTCAACGACTCGGTGAGCTCGTTTTCCCCACTCGGTGAGCCGCATCTGGGACCTCGGGCCAGCAGCTCATCCCGGGCTTGGTGGAAGTTCACGACGAACTCCTGCGAGATGGGCGTGGTGATAACTTGGCCCAGGGATAAGCACACCATGGCTTTTTGGTGGGATACGCGGAAAATACGGCTTTTCGGGATTATGACTCCTCTTTCGCCAAGTCTAAGAGATATGAGTTGATTTGGAGGAGCCAGCAAATAACCGCTGATTTTGGTGTTCCTTTCATGGAAGGGGGGGATGGTGTATGTTCGTGCATTTTGCTACTTCTTTTTGAGGACCGCTTCCGGGTTTGATGCCCCGATAGAAACCGAGAATGCCCCTGTGAGGGGTGGCATATTGAAGACACAACCAAATGCAGAACCAATTTTCGGGATTCCAACGGGTGAGACGCCAGTGGAAAAAAAAAATAAAAAATCGGAGGTTTTCCCACAATCGGAGACCTATGGTTTCTGCTTGGAGTCTTGAAGCCAATGGTTGGTTGGTTTTTGGGTCCGTCAATGCAAGGACCTCCATCTATGCGGAATACCCGGTAATGCTGCCAGAAACTGATAAGAACCCCAGGAAAGCTTCCCCTGGTACAATGCTCCGCTCATAAAAAAAAATATGGGATATGCACCCCGTACACTCCGTGTCTAACTCAAATACGGCAACATTGAAATCGGGAGATGTAGGACTTTAGGATCAATCACTGAAATGCGGAAGAAACCAGTCTCCTCAAGACATCAAGTCACTTGCGGCTTCAAACGGCGCCGGTGCTCAGGATCCGCACAAATCAAGCCGATGCGAAGCAGAAGAAGCGCAGGCTACATGCTACTTCTCAACTTGCGTATGTATATGTATGTTTACAAGGCAGGATTTGTGCATTAAATATCACAAACATTCCGCACTCCTCATGATAGTAAGGCCCGGTTTTATTAACTCGATTGTTTGTGTCACTTCAAGCCACCAATGCAATTGTACGACTCACAATCAGGCAAGCCTTGGTTGCAGTTTTCGATTGTTTGGGGATTTGAACCTCCCAGCCTCACCTCACGGAAACCCAAGATCGAACGGAACTCTCAAAGTGGCGAGCCTGCCACTACCCCAGACAACACATGGGCCACATTGGGGTCCCAGGCGTGAACAAAAACAGCTCTCTAGTGGGCAAAAGAGCCGACCGCCCGCCTCAAGACTTCCCGCCAAGGCGAATCAAACCAGAATGTAGAATGTGTTGGTCTTCACTGGCACGTCGCGAAGGTGAGACGTGTGTTTTCATTGTCTCGCCGGTCTGCCCGAGAATTTCGCCGAAAGCTCAGAATGCAAATCCTGATCGAGGCCGCAGATGACTCCAATCGCTTTCAGCCCTCAGCACAAAGCCGTGACCCGAGAAGTAAGCCTCAAGTTGAAGCGGAAGTCTCTCACGTCAAAGGATCTGCTAAAAGGTGATCAGTGCTTGGAAGCTCTAAATATGGACCAAATCAGAACCAACAGTTTGGATCCTTTCGATTCGCTTTGGCGAGTGAGAAGTTAGTCAACACCCGTTTAACATGGAACCTGCGGAATCGGTCAGACCCACCGTGGGTTCCATGGCACCGCTCAAGTTGCGCTCGGTGCATAATTGGCGAAGGCCAATTGCCGGGTCCCGCATCTTTCGGATTTGCTTTTCAATCACCTTTTCGCTTTCGGGTGCGGCGTTGCGACTGGCTCCTGCTCGGCCAGCTGGGCGTCCCACGCGCCCCCCGGGCGCAGGAACCCATAGCTCTCCACCTGGGCCGCTGTGTCTGGTGACAAAAAGAAAACAAACAAAACAAACAAACACATGTGTGGAGTTTTGCCCCCCTTCTCAATCACATCCAAGGGGGTTCCAACTCTTCACCTAATCTAAGAATCTGGAACTTGCCAATGCTGAACGTGCAGAACTCAACTCAGCAATTGAATGCTGTCTTGCCCGAAATCAACATTACAACCTGTCGCATGACACCAAGGCATCTTGAAACGTTCCCGAACGAAACTTCGACTCAAGTGCCAAACGGCTTAGCCGCTACATCCGGGAACCCATGGGGGTCGTTTTTGGATACTCCCTTCAACCACCAAAAAAGCAAAGCACACCCAAATCCGACATGGCCAGCCTCTATCCACGGCGGACCGTGCTTAAAATACGTATGTTCAATGTTCCCTGCTTTCCACCAGAACAACCCCGAAATACAAGGTACGAACTCCAGGACTGAGCTCCGCAACCGCATTCCGCACAATGGGTTAGACAAGTTCATCCGCCTGAACGTCCAGTCTGCGCTGCAGGCACAAGGCAAAGATCACGTCCTGGCGCAACACCCTTCAAGACTGAACAGCGGCACCCGAAAATTCATACGCCCCCTACTAAAAAAATAAAACATGGCTGGAGCAAGCTCGTCACGCACAACTAGTCCCATGTCAGCTCTTTGTCGAGGGCTCAGAACCCTGCGAGGACCGGCAACGGATCTACCGGGTGTAGTGGCCCAGGAAGCAAAGTCAAGCGCACCACCCGCTGGCCCTCAGCAAAAAAGGACACCTGCCCGTTGAATCCGTGCGAAGGAAGGGGCTTTCGGAAGGGGCTCTCGCTCGGGGACTTGATGCCAAGAGTCAGTAGCGCCTTTTGGGGGAAGCCCTTTGGTAAAACCATACAGGTAGTGTGGTGCTGGCATCCAAACCCAATCCTCCAACAAACGCCAGTTACCCTGAAAAGAAGTTCAAAAGGATTCAGGTTGTGGACCTCTCCTATTGCTTGAGGCTTGACGGTTTTCCTTTTGAGCACCAATAACACACCCTGCCCAACGCTCGCGCGCTCCTCCATGGCATCTCCCTGGGTCATCTCTAGCATGTCTTCCTGACGCCAGCTTCCCGACCGGGAACCATCACCCCAAGCAAAAGGACTATGGCCCAATGTTCCTAGCCCCCCAAAAGGGACATATGGGTTGACCTAATGAAAACCCCACAAATAGAATGTGTGCTTTCCCTTCAAACTCAGTCCCTGAGTGGATTGGTCGACAAAAGTCAAATTTGTCAAACCGAGCCCAAAAAGGGTACGCTCAAAAAGACGCAGCCATCTAGGACTTTGGGAAGGGCCTTGAATGCTTCCCTGCACCACTCCTTGCTTTTAATTTCAGTTTGCCCTTCCATGGACATAGGGGGACATAGTCTTCCAAAAGGGATCTCTGCACTTCCATGTTGTATGTGAGAGGGTAAAGGATGCAGGTCGAAGGGAGGCCCCATCCACAACTGTATAGACAAGTCAAGCGAACTGAAGCGCAGTTTAAAATCAAGGGCCCGCGGTCCACTTGTCTTGGCACTTCTCTCTTTGCAAACCGGGATCCAGCTGATTTGAAGCACGGAGAAAGGGGCTTGAGCAAGGAACCGTCTCGGTATGTGCTTCGGTCAAAAGATGCTCTTTAAAGCTGAAGGTAACCTATGTGGGCATGTTTGGCGCATGTAGCCCATGCCCCGACTCTGCCTCGCACATTTTAGGTGACTCGCGATGATTCACACGCAAACCTCCCCAAAGCGACTGGAGGTTTCACGCCACGATACACACGGCCACTGGGCTGGTTTTTATTTGGGTCCTCTAAGAAACATGGATTGAGGTGCTGAAGAACTGGTCCCGGAAATGGATTTAGATGGTATTGGGAAACCTGTGGGCACCAATGGACCAAATGAACTCCAAAGGATCAAAGGCCGATGTTTCTGGGAACATCTATTCGGGGGACTCAAACCCCCCACCGGGAAACTTAGGCCACCCATTTCTGGTTGGGAAGTAAACGGGGACTGGACACGCCACCCCCCCCCCAAAAAAAAAAAGCACAGAGGGAAACACTGGCATGACAAAGAGGCAAAGATTCAGACCTGGTCGCAAAGAAATTTGTGTTGTTTTGCGGCTTCCCAATCAGGTTGCTTTGGGAAACCAACAAAAACAAGACCATAGGAGCCCTTCTGGAACAAAAAAAGGCCCTGGCATATAGGGCAAAACAAACCCTCCAAACCAGCGGAACCCATCTATTTCCTTCCCCAAATCGATCAAAAGGACACCAAACCTCACCGAAATGGTGGTCTATGTCTTGAGGCCGCCCCCTCTTTTGCGGTTGCTCGGGGAAACCGCCCGCGCCTTTTTTCTGCGTTTAGAGTGAAACCACAGAAAACCAGATATTTTGTTTTTGTGTGTTTTTTTTTTTAGTGAAACCACAAAACCAGAAAGGGGAAGAGCACCGCCACTTCTGGTGGCACGGCGCGGGGTTTCATGGCTTCGCCGAGGCGCGAGGCAGGGCAGTGCGCTGCGGCCCACCTTTGGCAACAAGCCGCGGCTCACCACGTAGCCTACGAGGGCTCGACGGATCCGAAGAATCCGAAGGATCCTTCAGGATCGAAGGCGATCTGGAGATCTTGCATGCCGCTTTTCGTTGGGTTTAAGGGCTGTTTTTTTTTGGAGAACCTGGGTTCCCATGGCAAAAAGGTGCCTCTTTTAGTAGGGTTGACATGATGCAACATCTTAGCAAAGAGCTGGTATGTGGAGTAGGGGGGAGTCCTTGCGGTTTTTTGGAGCCATCCAACAGAGTCTTTAGAAGACCCATCTTCAGATGGGTTATGGGAAATCCCCAAATGGACGTTGGTCTTGATGTACGTGGTTTCCAGTCAAAACAAACAACCACAAGGGCACCATAGATGACTCTTAGATGACTGTGAACATTGAGCGTTGCTCAGGCAAACGACTGCTTGATTGTCAACTTGTTTACAACATCTGGGCCCCCTCTCCCCCAAACAACCGATGCCGAACTCTTAGAATATTGGGGGTCAATGCTTTTGCTGTTCATACTTCGCCCGGGGAGTCGGGGCAGACGTCAACGTCCACTGTCAGACGCTGCGGCAAGGCTCTGCGGAGCCCGTGGTGCGGAACTTGAGGAAACTGTCCATTCTCTGTGGGCTCCCAAGGAAGCCCATTTGGGTATGGGTCAAAATTGAACCACCAGGAAACCGCAGGGTCTTTGGGTCCTTATGGTTCTACATTTACCAGGATTCCCGAAACGGGTACCTATTCTTGACCAGCCATTTATTTTTCCGCGGGGTCATTCAGACAACCCCAGCTTGGAGGTGGACCTGTGGACAAATTGCTGAGATCCCTTCGATTCGCCGGGCCTGAGCCACCGTGGCCGAAGTACAGCGCCGGCCACCTGAAGTTCCGTCGGATCCGCCCGCAGCTGGCTGCTCAAAATGGGAGCCTCGTTTTGGCTCCAAAAAACCGCAAGAAACGAGAAACCACAAGGGACACCAAGAGGGAAACCAAAACCGGGATTGAAAGATCCCTCTTTTAAGAACACGTGTTCGTGTGTTTCAAGGCATCCTTTGTTCTGGGCAGTTGAAAGGGAACCGGAAGCACCACCATGTTTAAGATACCCCATTTTGAAGGGCTCTCTGCATTAATTTGAAGAACTGCCAACCCCATCCTCCTCTCGCTCAAATCACAACACTGGGTCGGGCTTGTGAAGGGCTTGGACCATGATCCGGGACGAATCGCGTGGCTTTGCCGTGGAACGCCATGGTAAGTCGCCATGGTGTAAGTCCCGTTCAGTGGGTTGGAACCAATTCCTAACCATTTCGCTGAGTCCGGACCATCCAATCAGCAGTTGATTGAAAAACCCGAGGTGTCCCGTTTTGGAGGAAAACCGGATCGCTTTATCCCTGTTTGCCCTGGGACTTAACAGACTTAACCAGTACCCCAGCCAGAGTGAAGTCACTTGACATTGGTCCAACAGGTCAACATTAAAAAACCAAGGGGATTTTGACCCTGGATGATTCCCTTTTTCTTATCGCACCAGCAAGCCTTCAAATGGACAAATGTGTCCATAGAACCCCGGAAACGGTCGAAACCCCACGCTCTCGCCGGGCTGCGGGCATCTCGCGGAGCTGACGCGGGGGCACAATGGCGTGCACCACGCCTGCGGAAGGCGTGGTAAAGTGAATGGCACCGTGGCCCCATGGATGGCTCTAAGTACACAACCCTTGCTGGGTTGCCCAAGGCCGGCCCATAGGCGCCTTAGCCCCGTGGATGGACCTGTTTGTTTGTTAACCCAAAGAAATGGTGGAATATTCCAGAGGATTGTTTGTATCCATGGTTTTCGACATGCTGTTCTCGCCCGTCACTTCGCACCTGGGTGGTTGATTCCAGAGGAAGTTGCGTTCATTGTCTTCGGAATGGAAAAAGGCCCATCCAATGTGACCTGTGGGAAAACCAGGTTATTGGGTGACTCAGCATCCGATTTGACAAGGGCGCTCACAAAACGGGGTGATTTGGGGGATTTACCTATCTAGAACCACACACACACACACCAACAAACATCAACAGCGCCCCCACCCCCACCCCCTCCCAACAAAAGAAGGGCTCCGTGGCTCCACCACTACCTCCTCGCGCCCCCACACCCCCCCACACCCCCGCCACCCAAATTTCATCTTTTGACCTACCCCCCTCGCTTCCATTTTGTCCCTGGCTGAAGGGGGGTTGGGTTATTGGAAGGGGCTGGGGGGGTTCTGAGAGATTACCTCCCCCCCACCAAATTTCAAAGGGGGACGTGGGTCTACGAAATGGATCGCCGTACCGGGGTGGGGGGGACCGAACCGCGCCTGAAAATGGAACACTGAGAGGGGGGGAGGTGGATTTTCCTGGACAGGATGCAGGAAATACACCTAACCCGCCCCGATTTCCACACCCGTCAACGCCTTTTAAATGGAAAGGGCGGGGGAGGTGCCTCCATCTGTAGAAAATGCTACAATCGGCACCACCCCCCTCTCTGCGGGTAACCCCCCAAAACGAAACTGGACAAAGCACCTCCCCAACGTGCTTTTCTCCAATTTCCATTGCGACCTCCCCAAAGCGGGATTCCACGCCGGACGCCCCCAAGCCAGCAAACAAATTGGAGGGACAAATTCCAAAACCTACCTCACACTGCATTTTTGAGGGGGGTGGGGATTCCCCAATGTCTCGGGGAAGGTTTCATCCCCAACTGGACGGCAACTGGGGCCATCCAACTGGGTGGATCTGGCGGTCCAACTTCATGTCCGATGTGCCCCAACCACGTAAGACCGCAGCAGGTACCCGCCGGCGAAAAGTTTAGCTTCATGCTCCCGCATGCAATTGGTCAGTTGCAGCTTGGTGGGGAAAACAATGCAACATGTCCCAAAAGTTCCAGTCTAAAAGGATCCAACCAAATAGCAAACACCGCAGTGGCCATGGGAAAATGGGGCACCTTTTTTTTGGCTGTTGATTTTAACGGGAACCAGAAACTACAGGAAACAACGATATGCCCGTGTGGGAAAATCGCCTTCTGGAAATGTGTTGGCTGCAAAATCTGGGAACCCCGGTAAATGGGTCTGTCCGTCTTCCATTTGCTTCAGGCCCCCTGGAAAGAATGAAAACTAATCATCCCGATCCCTTCAAATACCAACAGGAGGAAATAAAAGAAATCGTCCTTTCATCCAGCGACCGAGTCCAGGGCCAACCGGTTTCCTTCCTTACAACTCCCCAAGCCACGCGAGCGCAACTCGCTGGGGGTCTTGGCCAAAGAAGTGCTCCTCCTCTGGGTCGAAGCAGCTGAGGCGGTCGCTGACGCCACGCCTGGTGCTACGTCAACGTCGGTCTGTGCTTGGAGTCAGCGTGGCTGCTGTGTGCTGTGTGCCAACGTGACGGGTTCAGACTCGGGCCAACTTTTTTCCGGGGGAAAGGCACTGGCAACTGCTTGCTCAAGCAGTGAGCACGGCAGGCACGTTCGCAATGGACAGGAGTCTGTGGCTGTGGTTGGAGACCGTTCTCGGGTTGGGGGTTTCCCACGTGGAATCTGGGAAACGACAGCAAGCTGGTACTACTCATTGCGACGGGCCGCAGCGATTCACATCCTAGGAGATATATAATATATATGTTCTTAATAAAACAACTACCGAGTTACTTGCTTCTAAAGCGGGGCAGGCTGCTTTGCGAGTCCAGGCCAGGTTGGTGCTTTGCGACACAGCCCGTGCTGGCCCCAGCGTGCTTTCGGGCGCTCAAGGTGCCGCAGCAGTTGCGGCCGCTTCTCGGCGAGGGTTCTTATCGGGGTGGCGGGGCTTGTCTGGCGATGATGCCGGTCAGGGTGCTGGTTTTGGGTGCTGGTTTAAGGTCGGCATACCCAAAGAGCGGGGCAGTCGCTAGTGTGCTTGTTTGGCGATGCAGCAGGGTGCCGGTCAGGGTGTTGGTGTGGGTGTTGGTGCTGGTCCAGGGTGCTGTTTGGTCAAGGTGGTGAAAAGTCGTTGGCGATTGCAGTTGGGTCGCTGCTTTTCGTCGCGCGCCCAGTACACGGGCCACTGAGTCTGTAGATTGGAAAACAGCAGGGCAGCGAGGATCGCCAAGCTTGGCAGGGTGAAGGGCACTTCGGAGTGGAAGAGCCACATAGCGAATGGGGAGGCATCGTTCTTTTTGTCACGGCGGAAGGTTTGGAGAGGAGATCATTGAGCAGGGAGAGGTGAGGAGAGAGAGGTAGATGCCTTGGACTGTAAGAAGAGAGGATCAGGTTCCAGGGGGCAGGAAGGCGTGGCGACCAGCATGCTGGCAGAGCCAATGAGAAGCCGGAAGGCGGCGGAGATAGCGCGGTGAGTCACGGGCGCAAGAAAGACGGTGTCAAGCAGAAGGGAAGCGGCGCGGCTGGCTGGTTGAAGCGGAAGCCGAGAGCCCTCTTGGCGGAACAAAAAACCCAACTTGCGCGGAGGTGATGCTGCGCTGCCCTCTCCCTCAGGCCGAAAAGTCACATATCCGGAACAACGTACGCGCTCGTGACCAACCTGGTCAGGACTGCAAGGACTTGCTCAAAAGGTACGCCAGGTAGGGGACCGCTGGCCCTGGAGCTGGCGACCAAAGCACGGCCGGGCAGCTCTGAACCGGAGCCAGCTTGTCACAGCGAGAGGGCATAGGTGGGGATCCGCCTACGCTTCCTCAAAGCTTCCTCAAAAAAGACGGTGGCTGGAGAATAGGGAGCCGGTGGGTGCTGAGGGTGCCCTACTCACTGGACGAGCAGAAGTGGCGAGGCCGTGTGTGGCGAGGTCTACAGCAGCCCGAGCTGCTGGCCATGGAGGGAGCGCTTAGGACCGGCTGAAGGCGCCTCCAGCTGGTCATGCTGCAGCAGAACGCAGCCGATCAGGTATGTGAGAAGGACTAGGAGTGAAGATCACGGAGCCTCGAATCTGCGTGAGAGAGCTGTGGGCAGCGAAAGCTCCAGCGGCCGTGAAGGGTCGGAAGCGCCCATTCCGGACATTCCCCGAAAGGGCTTGCGGTCCAGAATGAAAGATCGCGCTAGACGTCGAGGCGATCATGTGGGAAGAGGTGAAGAAGGTGTTCCCCGGCATCCTGAAAGAGCCAGTTGGAGAAGACCGATGGATCGAGAAGGGGGAGTACTACATCACGGTGCATAGCAGGAAGCGGGTCACAAAGGTTTACCTAAGGCGTGGAAGGATGCCGCAGACGAGGAGCAGGTCCGAGCGCATCTCCATCATGAGGACGAATGGGCCGATCTTCGTCTTGGGAGGAGACTTTGAAGTTGGGTCTCGGACGAAGTTACGAGAATGGACGGGCTATGGCATGTTCAAGAAAGCGGAGGAGACGCCAAAGGCGCAGGAGCGGGTCTTGAGCTGGGAGTAGGAGGAGCGCCAATGTGCACGGCAGGCCGGGCCATGCGGGAGGCTGCAGTCACTCGACTGCGTGCCGACTTGTGTGTTGCTACGAAAGTACCCAGCGGGGGTGCATGAGTCATCCCAACCCGATTGAAAGCCGACATGATGGCATCGACCATCGTAGACCCTTTGATAGGCTCGAAAAAAAGCGCCTGAGCTTTGCAAAAACAGAACCAAGCAAACAAGGCTCTTTACGAGCATCGTGGCAAGGCTTTCTAACATGCACCGCCTGAAACACGTCACAAACTTCGAAACAAAACTGCAGAAATCCCGGGGACCACATGGAAGCGATCTAAAAGAGTGTCCGGCCATCCCCGTCGTTGGGAATTGCAGTCCCCTCACATTGAGCGGCGCGACAAGGATACTTGGGTCGCTGCTTTTCATTGCACGCCCACTACACAGGCCACTGAGTCTGTAGATTGGATGTCTCGCGACATCTGGGAGGCTGCAGCAAGGAAGCGATCTTATTGTCACTTCCAGCAAGTGAGACCAAGATCATTCTTGCTCAGAAGGCAGGTGTTGCTGTAGACCGTGTTCTTGTAGATCTTGAAATCAGGCTCATCACCGCTGCTATAGTCTGCCAGGACGATCCCGCCAGCAGACCTCCTGGCCTGTCGGCTGTTTCCTGAGCTGTCATACCACCACATGGAGAACTTGTTGTTGCCTTCATCTTGAAGCTTCAATTTGGTGTAGCTCTGGCTCCCGAGGGCCTTGCAGTAAGCCACAGACATTGAGCTCGTTCCACAGGTCACCGACTTTCCTTGGACGCTGCGGCGACGGGTGCCGTACTTAGACTGGAGCTTGCAGTACCCATTTCCCTGATCAACAAAGAGGAACTGGTCCCGGTTGTTGGAGTTTGTGTTGCAGCTGGCGGTGTCCAAAGTCGATGTGCCTCCAGTGTTGAGACCCTCGAGGCAGCTGCCCCCGTAAATCGTAAACGCGATGGAGTAGGAGTCCATGCTGGACCCACAGTTCACCGTGGTTGTCGTGGTGGTTGTGCGCCGTCGGCTGCGACGGCGTCTTGAGTTCTTGCCCTGGACCGCATCTTCCAGCTCCAGTTCAGAGTCCCCACGGGCGCGGGCTCTCTCCACCAGGGAGTCCTCGATGTCCTCCAAGTCCTGCTCGATGCGATCTGAGACTGGCTGCGTGCGGTTAGCGGCCGCTTGAAGCAGCACTGCACTTGCCGCCTTGCCCGCGCCCTCGCACTGCTCAGTCTCGGACTGTGCCACGGCAAGCAGAGCGACTTGAAGGCACAAGCGCAACACACTGCGGCTCAATGCATTCATGGCGGCAATGGATAAAATGAGACGAGTATTGGGTAAGATGGGCGAAAGCTTCGCGGCTCAACAAGGAACCATCGCGGGTGAGCTCGTTTTACCCCTGTGTCAGCTCGACACAATTTGTGCAGATCAGTCAAAAAAAAAGTGATCGGTGCTTTCCCCCAAAGAAAACTGTGAAGCTTTGGCTATGACACTCCTCCCATCTCTACAACCCTCACTCCAAATCAATACATCCCGTATCCCCCGTCAAGACGTGAGCTTTCCTGGGGTCCCTAGATCTCCCGTGATCGGTTTGGGGTTGGCCCCTTAGGTCAAACTAAAGGTTAAGGGTCAGTAAGGGTTCCCATTTAATCAGCATCCACCGAAAGACATGTCAAGATCAGCTTTTGAGGGAACAAGCAAACAACCCGTACGGGCTGCTCCTCGGAAAGGACAACCGTGCCATCTTGGGCGCCCAAAGTAGGGGCGACTCTTGAAAGTGGGGCGAGTGGCGCTCCCTTAGCCTCAAGTTGTCGACCCCCAGCAAATTAAAACGTTACCCAGCAAACAAGGCTTTTTACGAGCATCGTGGCAAGGCTTACAAACATGGCAACAAGTCACAAACTTCAAAACAAAACTGCAAATCGCAAAAAGAGGATCCAAAAGAGCGTCCAGCCATCCCCGTCATTGGCAATTGCAGTTCCCCTCACATTGAGCGGCGCGACAAGGATGCTTGGGTCGCTGCTTTTCATTGCACGCCCACTACACAGGCCACTGAGTCTGTAGATTGGATGTCTCACGACATTCGTGAAGCTGAGCAAAGGAAGCGATCTTATTGTCACTTCCAGCAAGTGAGACCAAGATCACTCTTGCTCAGAAGGCAGGTGTTGCTGTAGACCGTGTTCTTGTAGACCTTGAAATCAGGCTCATCACCGCTGCTATAGTCTGCCAGGATGATCCCGCCAGCAGACCTCTGGCCTGTCGGCTGTTTCCTGAGCTGTCATACCACCACATGGAGAACTTGTTGTTGCCTTCATCTTGAAGCTTCACTCTGGCTCCCGAAGGCCTTGCAGTAAGCCACAGACATTGAGCTCGTTCCACAGGTCACCGACTTTCCTTGGACGCTGCGGCGACGGGTGCCGTACTTAGACTGGAGCTTGCAGTACCCATCTCCCTGATCAACAAAGAGGAACTGGTCCCGGTTGTTGGAGTTTGTGTTGCAGCTGGCGGTGTCCAAAGTCGATGTGCCTCCAGTGTTGAGACCCTCGAGGCAGCTGCCCCCGTAAATCGTAAACGCGATGGAGTAGGAGTCCATGCTGGACCCACAGTTCACCGTGGTTGTCGTGGTGGTTGTGCGCCGTCGGCTGCGACGGCGTCTTGAGTTCTTGCCCTGGACCGCATCTTCCAGCTCCAGTTCAGAGTCCCCACGGGCGCGGGCTCTCTCCACCAGGGAGTCCTCGATGTCCTCCAAGTCCTGCTCGATGCGATCTGAGACTGGCTGCGTGCGGTTAGCGGCCGCTTGAAGCAGCACTGCACTTGCCGCCTTGCCCGCGCCCTCGCACTGCTCAGTCTCGGACTGTGCCACGGCAAGCAGAGCGACTTGAAGGCACAAGCGCAACACACTGCGGCTCAATGCATTCATGGCGGCAATGGATAAAATGAG